GTTAAAGTCCAGGCTCAAAGCTTATTGAGATGCTTTCATAGTAGCTGTTAAAGAGCCATTCATTCTGAAAAGAAAGTGCTCCATATTGGTTTTTAAACACCTATTTGCAGTTATCACATCTCAGTCATATTTTGGGTTTAAGGACTAGTTACTTTTCACACAGTGATGGTTGGCATAGCTTTTAAGTTTTTTTTTACTCGGATACATTTTTAGGGATTGTATTTTCAGCCTAATCAAGTGTCTTTAAAATAAAAAAAAGAAAATAAAGCTGTTTATACGGATTGCCACTTTCAGAAGCAGCCTAGATGTAATGTGCTGTTTGTGTTTTTCTCAGCACATCAAAGCCTCTCTGGACCTGATAGAGGGCAGCATGACCGTCAGCACCACCAAGAAGACCTTCGACCCGTATGCTATCGTGAAAGCAAGAGACCTCATCAAGCTGCTGGCGAGGAGTGTCCCATATGAGCAGGTAAAGACCCGTTAATTTGAGTTCCAACCTTTAACACATTCACTGCTAACCAACCACTGATCGTTATCGATTATTGTTTCCAGGCTGTCCGCATATTACAAGATGACGTGGCTTGTGACATCATCAAAATCGGGACCATGGTGAGGAACAGAGAGCGGTTTGTAAAGCGAAGGCAGCGGCTGATCGGCCCCAAGGGCTCCACCTTAAAAGTAAGCTGTCGATGCAGGTTTCCATTATTATGGAATTTAGCTTGTTGATTTTATTTAAACATTCATATAAAAGTTGTTGCATTAAACCTATTTTAGCATAAAAGCTTTGTTTAAACACGTGTTTAACAAGATTCACATTTGTATGGCTTTAGAAGAGTCTCAATATTTACAAACTCACATCTGTGATCCACACATGTACAGGAGAAGATTTGCACATGCACAGAACAAAACCCACACGTGCAAGGGGCAAGCGTTGAACATGCACTTAATGATTCAAACAAGCACATCCCACTCGCCATGTGACAAATATATCACCATGCAATATAGGTTCTTGTGATTGCCTGAAATAATGGAGTTATCTAATTGTTTGCAAATCATGGCTTTAAAAAAAAAATGCATTTTTGCATCAAGCCACATCAGGTGAGTCTCAAAAATCCATTGCATTGAAATTCAAATATCACTGGTAGGTTGTAAATTAAGACATAATTGTGCATCACAAATACTTTTTTGAATCTTGTCTTGTTAATATATAAGATTGTGCATCATTGCCCTGTACATGTGTGCATCGCAGATGTAGGGTTTGTTAATTTTAAGACTATTTTAGCCCCAGACTTCTGCTCCTACAGGGACGCTTCAATTTCATTATTAGCTCAATACCACTAGGTGGCAGCAATGTGTTTAAGCCACATAATCAAACTCATCGCCTCTCTGCAAATTAATCATTATATCATTTGTTTTCTCATGTTTAGGCATTAGAGTTGTTGACCAACTGCTATGTGATGGTGCAGGGAAACACCGTGTCAGCACTGGGGCCCTACAGTGGCCTGAAGGAGGTAAGAATCTCTCAGCGGCCTGTCATTAGCAGGGTTAGTATTAGGAAATATGGTGTGTAGCATATTCAGATCAGAAACTGTTCAATACAACAAAACATTTTAATAAATATACTACAGCAAATGTGGTGTTATTGTACCAAAATACCAATAGGTTGAATTACCTGAAAAGACGCCCCCAAATGTTTTTATTATCAATATTTTTATTTTAAGAAAAAAAATGATTTCCAGTTTCCTTCACTAATTAAATAATTGTTCCCATATAAAGCAAAAAAGTAAACTGAAGGGTTTTTGTTTGAGTACCTAGTTTTGATTCCAGTAAGAAAACGAAAAAAACCTATACTATTTTTATAAATTAATTAGGTTTTTCATAATAAACTGAATTAATAAATGCTCATTTTTGATCGCTTCTTTGTAACCAATTCATTGCCACTAAAATCTTTTATTATACAGGTACGAAAAGTGGTAATGGACACCATGAAGAACATCCACCCCATCTACAACATCAAGGTATATTCAGCTGCTCTCAGATGCATAGTCAGGTTAACGGGTTTCCAGTTCAAGCTACAAATCTGCATTCATGTCTAATGAAGATTTTTCCATCCTTGTTCTTGATTTCCTGACTGAAATAAATCTCTCTGGGTTTGAAAGCCAGGGTTGGCTTCATCTGGAGCTGAAGGCATGAAAAATGAGACGCTAGTCGGCGCAGCCATTAAACCTTTAACCGTCACTGGTGTTCCGCCAATGTGCCTTAACCGTTTATCACTCTCCCCGTCTTTGCCGCCAGACACTGATGATCAAACAGGAACTTTCTAAAGACCCGGACCTGCGGACACAGAATTGGGAACGCTTCCTGCCCAAGTTCCGCTCCAAAAACCTCTCCAAGCGCAAGGAGCCCAAGAAGAAGAGTGTGAAGAAGGAGTACACACCGTTCCCACCCACACAGCCAGAAAGCAAGGTGAGAAAGAGTTTGTGTGTAAAATAATGAATGTATGTGTCACTACTATGATTTTTACCATGCATTGTAAACATCAAAGTGTAAGAGAAAATTTTAAGTGATTTTGGTGAAATCAAATATTAGATTAAATTGAAAAGAAATAGATAATCTTCCAATGGTTTTTAATTATTTGAGATTACCGGAATATTTTCTAGACCCTAAACCTTTAAATTAGAAGCCAGAAGTTTCTTGTTGGAGAATCTTTTTTTAAATGTTTTCATTGAGATTGACAATCCAAAACATTTAATATCATAGCCCTTATGTCACCTTATTACTTATTTGGCAGTATAATAATAGGCATTGTCCATTTAGTAGCTTTAACTTGCTTTCCTTTTGTCCCAAAATGCTGTTTCCATTTTTTTTCTTTTTCTTTTTTACTCGAGTCATTCACTGTAGTGCAATCAGTCCCATGACATCATGCTGCCACTTCCATACATTACAGCTGGGATGGCATTCACAGGTTCACAAGCGTCTCCCTCTTTCCATTAATCTAAAAGTTGTTTACCTCAGTTTTAGTTCCAACAGACCACTTGGCATGTTTTCAAAATAATTTATATTGCTTTTTTATAATGGCTTCTTCCACCCTGAGCGGCATTTCAGCCCATATCAATAAAGGGGGCATTTCTTCCCTGTACAGGATTTTCCAGTGATGCCACACAAGGAAGCTTTGTGTTTTTTAAAGTTACTGCTGAAAAGAAATGCATGATCAGATCAGAAGGGTCCATAGTTATAAGGAGTTTTAACGGTTTGGACTCTCTCACAGGTTGATAAGGAGCTTGCCTCGGGTGAATTCTTTTTGCGTGAAAGCGCGAAAAGGCGGAAGAAGATGGAGGAAATTAAGGTAAGAATTTGTTTAGTTCTTCTAGTGCTTAGTTCCTACTGAAAATATTTTTTCATTAAAGGTTAGTGACAATCAAAAAATCAAACTAAAACATGTGATTTTCCATCCTTTTGATGAATGGCTGATGTGACCTTTTTTGCAACCTTTTTCCTTCCTCAGGTCAAACAAACAGAAGCACTGACCAAGAAGCAGGAGGAGCGGAACAAAGCCTTCATTCCTCCTAAAGAGAAGCCGTTAATGAAGAAAACAGTTAAAGGTAGATAGAAAACACAGGTCAGAGATGAGAGGATTGACTTCTAAGGGTGACTGATTAACCATCTGTTTGTGTTGCAGCTCCAGAAGGGAAGCTGGACATCGAAGCCATTAAGGACAAAGTCAAAAAGGCCAAAACAAAGAAACTGGGAGCTCCACCTGTGATCCCGGCTCCACCCACCAGCAACACCACAGACAAAAAGAAGAAGAAAACAAAAGACAAAGGCTAAGAACACATCCAGCTCCATCGTGTTTTTAACATTTGCTGTTTGTTGGACAGAAGACAGACATTGGAAATGCAAAGGAGTGAAACATTTCTTTCAGAGTTTAAGTCCCAAACAAGTTTTCATTCTTTTAAGATACAAAGACTGTTAAAGATGATGTACAGAGTCGCATTTCTTACTTCCTTGTCTCCATTTCCTGCCCTGTGCCGCAGTTTTGAACTGATGATAGCGGTAGCATCTGTAAAAGTAAAGTTTTTTTTTTTAATGACTTGAATCCTGCTTCTATAAACTGTTTTGTCATCCTTGTGTTGAGATTCCACTGATATTATCCTCACTAATGTTCCCAAGACCAAAAGCAGTTTCAGAGGCTTTATGGTGTTTTTAGAGGGAGAGCTAGCAGGCGCTATGTGTAGGTTGAGAGACTGTAAAAATATTAATTCCAGTAAAAACATAAAAAGTTGACATTAATACAAATATAACTAGAAAACAGCACAAAGTACTTTATTGGAGCTATTTCAAGTAAAACTGTTACTTTTGTGTGAGAAGAAGATCCTTTTAGTCAATTTCATTAAAAAAATTATATATTAAGCTGTTGAGAATTAAAGAAGCACGCATGTAAAAGACAAACATGTTGACATACTGTATTTATATAGAGCAATACACAACACCTGTTATTTAAAGGTACCTAATGAAGTAAATCATTGGGAGGTACTGTGTGTTTTTATAAAGGGATGAATCTGATCATTTGCTCAGGAAACATTGAGTTTTACTTTTGCAAACCTATTCGGTAAGTTTACATGGTCATAGTCTGAGGCCTAAACTAAATACTCTCCACCTTTTAAAGACCTGCAGTAACACATTTTTACCAGGTTAAAGCTAACGATGCTTATTTAAGCTTCACATGACGTGCGGTTGCTTAAGACAAAAAAAGGCCCTTCAACCACCACCGTCCAAAAAAAAGTTTCTAACTAAACTCAAACCTTTTATTTTTTCATAACCTCCACATGCTTACAGGTTCTATGTTGAGTTGTTAAAGGTAGGCAGTTAATTCTGTATAATAACTGATAGATCCAGTTTAACTATAGTTCGGGTTTGTGTCAGCGCCCCCTACGGGCTGATTACTATCCCTGCTTTTCCTCTTTATTTTACCTGTTTTCATTTTCACTCGGTAACAAATGTTTGTTGAATTTAACTGAGAAACATTCTTAAAAACTACTCTGGTAAAAGTACAAATTAAAGTTGGGAACTACCTTAAAAAAAAAAAAAAAGAAGTACAAACAAATAAATGTACTTTCCATCACATTACTATACAATGAAAAAGGACGTAACTCATCCACACAGGAAGGGCTTTACAGAATATATCAAATCAGAGAGGAGCATCATGATTAAAACAGAAGAATGACTAAAAAGAAAAATGCAGAAATTAATAAATAAAAAACTAGCATTTGGAATTAAAGGGCTTGATTTAGACTTTGTAAAGAGTCAAAAATATGGAACACGTTAAATAGATCCAGTAAAACGACAAACACTCCTGTACTTGTAAAATGCTTTTCAATTGAAATGCTCCAGTCACTCAAGTGTCTTTTTTTAACCTGTTATTGTCCAGTTTTACTTGGCTTGGTGGATTTTACCCATTGTTTTTCTTTAGGGGGATATTTTTGTTTATTCATGTCCATTACAAGACTTTAAGAAAAGTATATTACAGCAGATTCCATGGTGTTCTGCAGTTTGAAATCAGCTTCTCTTTGATGTTAAAAATCTGTTCATTTTTGTGGGAAGAAATGTTGAATACAGTGGTACACTGCAAAAATGATCTAGAAATAAGTCAACATTTCTGAAGTGTATTTACCCTTAAATTTGAGTAGGTAAATAAGGTAATTTGCAAACAGAATGAGTATTTTTACTCTTAAAATAAGATAATTAGATAAAATGCACTTGAAATAAGACAATGCAATTATTTGTTCTTATTTCATATGTAAATGATGTTGTTCAATTGGCAAAGTGTCTCACTGACCTCCTCAATTCAAGAACAAATGCAACTATTTTAAGAATAAAATACTAAAATAAATGAGGTGTCCGTCTGGTTCTACTTTAACAACAAAAGGTCTACTCGTAGCAGAAGACATCAGGGTAAAAATAACGGACAGCGTATGCAGAAATGCATATCAGGATGAGGAAAATGGGCCGGACAATCAGGATAACTTTATAATTTTTGCTAAAGTTGTCGGGGTCCCAGTCCGGAGTCCAGCTGTAGCCTAAACGAAAACCAAAAGTCAGATTTTTTTTTATAAATTGTCACTTTTATTTTGAACATTTCTGGCTTTTTGGACTTACTTCTTAGTTTGTCTCGTTCTCCACTCCCTGCAGAGACACACAAGCTTTATTTCCCACTCCATGCATGTAAGTTCAGAAAAATGAGTCCAATAATTGTTGTTAAATTCATTACTTCAACTATTAAGCATAATACTTACGGCAGAGACCGCGCTCACAAATGTCTTTGCATTCAGAGCAGGAATTCCCCTCAGCATAAGGCTTTTTTCCAAACCAATTACCGCTGCAAGACACATCAAGTTAATTTTTATATTTCAATAGCAAAACAATTCAAAGTGCTGTACATGAGAAATGAAGGATAAGTACAAACCAGTTGCTGGAGCTAACGCAAGTTATTCTAGAGAACAAAAATGAATAAAATTCATATTTGAAAGAAAAAAAATGTTTTTTGATTAAAATGAATGGACTGTCTCGATAGCACAGCCAAAGTGCACTTTTAACAAATAGATTTTAAAACAACAACAGTTATCTTGGAGTTTATTACAGATTAATGGAGCATAAGAATTAAAACAAGTTCTCCATGTTTGGTTCTGTTTCTGGGTATGCCGACTATGACCTTTGGCCAGACCCGTTGCAATTAGTCCTTAAATCCTGGAGACGTTCTTTAAGTGACTGAAGGCCGAGGTTGTTACCATCGCAATGAGCTTATGAAGGTTCAGGGTTGAGTCTATCACCCAAATTGATTATTGGTGGTTTCTAGCTAGATTACCTGAAGCTGTGTGCTAACCTTTAAATGCTCCAAAAAAATAAATAAATAATAATCATTTCAATTATTTTGATGCAAAAAAATATTGTCCCATCAATGTGTCGATTTCTACTATTTGTTTATTAACCCAAATCTTAAATGGGTTTATAATCACTTGATGAAATCTTAACGTACGTTAACTTTTCTTGTTCATTGAGATCTGAGTTAGAGGGGCATGTAGATATTCAATAGGAGGCACCCTAAGATGGATCCTTGGGGAACACCACATGTGATTTTTGTGGTCTCTAAATGTTCAGTTTTTTTTCAAGTAGGGTCTGAACCTGTCCAGAAAGGCAAACCAAGATGTATAGCAGCTCTAAATAAAGTGAGTGATCATCAATGTCAAATCCTGCTGAGATCCAGTAATACTGCTAAAGGAAGCATCATTTTTGGTCCAGAGACCTTTGAACCAAACCTCCTGTTTGTTATTAGTCCTGAACCGTTAAATAGGCTTCTAGTTCTCAATGTGCAGCTTGGCTTTAAAAATAGAAAACAAGCGGTTGCTGTTGAGGAGTTTGTTGGTATACCATTTCCTGCCTCATCAGGTCTATATTTTTTTAAAACCACTTCCTTTCTCATTAAATACAGAGTTCAGGTTACCTTGGGGCGTAGTTGCATACGAAAATTGCACCCTCACGGCCATCGAAGTGTTTAATGCCATTTGGGCAGAGCTGGACAGCGCAGCCAACCTTGTAGCTGTTTGCCCACACAACCTGAAAACGCAAGTGTGATGCAGTCAAGACCAGATGTTTATGTACATTATGCCGCCTTAAATCTCACATTAGCTTTTTTTCTCTGTCTGACATTAACCCTTTATAGGGCACTCAATGAAATAGTTTGAAAAACAAAATTTCAAGTCAATACAGTTATTGGAATCCAGGACAAGACCTTATTACCTTTGTAACATAAAAAAAAAAGTATGGATATTTTGATGGCAAAAATGTATGTCAATGTAATAACAAGAAACGCCAACTTGCCTTAATATACTAAGAAAAATAACAAAAGTGCTTCAATTAGAAATTCATGAAAAACACCCTGACAGTGAAAGAAACACATTTTTTTTGGTCCAGCATAACCTTTGAGACATTAATGCTAAAACTGGCACTTTAGTTTTGTATCTAATAAACCTAAATATAATTGTTAACTAGGCTTATTAACTTTTGAACTTTACTTTAGAAATTTTCAGTTAGCTTTTTACCTTTTTTTGCTTATCTTAACTTTTTTCCTACTTTATTTACAGTAGGTAATCTATCATTCAAGGGTTCATCCAATTGGTCAAATGCCAATTAAGATATGCAGCCATGTAGCAGCATCTTTGCTGAATGGCTGGATATAGATATTGTGCTTCTAGAACTCACTGAGGGATGGGGGGACTCCATTTTTAAGGGGTATGCAAGTGATCAAAAACGCTAACTTGCCCTATTAAGGGTAAAATCAAATTCAATATTTCCCGTTTTAAGTCAGTTCTTAAAGTTCAGAGGTTCCTATTTGTTATCCTTAATACTGAGTAGAAGTCCAAACAACCAACTTAGCTCACAGTTTTTACATGTTCATACACCAATACACAGGTCAGTCACCAACTTTAGGTGCCTTTCAGGAAGAAGCTAGAATCAAAGTTTAAATCTTCTTAGTGAAATAATATTACTCTACCCACTGATCCACAGTTGCCCTGCAGTTTCTTGAAGTATACCAGTCTCTGCTGTCACAAAACACCCATATGATCCTCCCACTTTTTTACTTCAGATTTAACAAAATTTATCACTGCTAAATACGTCCGAAGGTAAAATTTCTGTCCCAGTTTGCGTGTATAAATCTGACCTTTTTATGTTGCTTTTGCAGAAATGGCTTCTTCCTTTGCAGCAGTCTGTATCGTCACAAGACATTTTGCTTTCCCTCCTAAGTTATTAAGCACTTTTCAAAAAATGAATGTCTACCTGGTGTTTATCCTGCCATATCATTGTTTGAACTAATCAAGTCACCATCTTTAAGTATATGGAAACTGTCCCTTAGGAAGGTACCAGGTCTTTAATTGATATCTGGGGAGATTTGATTTTTCCAGCAGGTTTGATTAGCTAATTTGTCCGGTTAGTTCTAATTTAACTCATATTGTTAAAATAACCCTTCACGGAGCTTGCAAGTCCTGACATAATCAAACCGACTTACTCAAACTGTTTAAAACAGGGGTTTCCAGGGCCAAGGACCCCCAAACTGATGGTGAGATGGAGCAAGGACCCCCTAATTATATATATCATATGAATTTGTGTTAAATCAAATTGGTCCAATAGTCACTCTATCACAGATGGAGTAATGCAAGGAAAGTAATTTCTCCCTAGGATTATTAAAGCATTTGTGATTCTGATTCCTGGTTGATGGGACAGGTGTTGTGAATGAAACGGTACCCAGCTTGAAAAAGCTCCTGTGTGTCGCTGAATGTGAGCATTGATGACTAAAAGACATCTTCTGCCTCCATTTATCTGTTTACTACAGTGTGTTGAATTCAATTCAATTAGTGGAAAAAATGCAGGGGGAGAATATATATAAAAAGTCTAACCAACCGAAACTTTCGCGACCCCCATGCAGTACCTCCGTTGACCCCCTAGGGGTCACGGACCCCCTGTTCAAGACCTCCGGTTTAAAAGCATAGTAATCCAAACTTTATTTGTGGAAAATTTGACACTGTTCTGGAATTTAGCAGACTGAAAACATTGATCTCAGGTGTCATAAAACAGGAAAAGCTGAGTGTTAATGTCAGATACTGATCAAATAAAGGTGTCCCACACCTGAATCAGCTGTAGATGAACAGTGTTCTCACTGTGCACATACCTGTGTGTAATGACCACACATGCCTTTGCAGCTGTTTGCCTCGTAGCTGTAAAACTGCTTTTCATCCACCCAACTTTTCAAGGCTCCCTTTACGCTGAAGTGCGACGGCGGGGTCCCCACCCATATGTTTTCTCCTACAGAATGATAGGTAGGGTGCACACGCTGGACCTCCTTCAGGTAGATGTTGTGCTTAAATTGGCAGTGTTTGGCCCATGCTCTGGCAGTAACGGCCAACGCTTCGTCCCATGACTTCATCAGCACATGCAACGACATGAAACACAGCAATTGTTATTTCGCTTTAATCATTTATAAGAACAGGAATTTCTGATTCTAGGTGATTACTTTGAAATACATTATTAGTTTCACTGTATTGTGAATTAAGAAAAATCCACTCAGAAAGAGTATTTTATGTATTATAATGTTTAAATTGTGGTAGCTGCAAAATAAAAAATTAAATAGAAATACATTTGGCTCTAGTTAACTGTTTTATAGTCAGATTACCAACAAAACTATCTTGATATGCGTAACATTAACAAGTGAAATTGTAATTAAAATAACACAAATATATATTGAATCAAAAGGGATTAATTTCCTTATAATTCTGTTACTTAATATGAAATAGGTTTACATGCTTTAATTAATATCATTTATAGTTACTTCCCATGTGAGAAATAAGACTGGGACTTGGCATGTTTCATGCATATATCTTATAGTCAGTTTAATACTTAAAATAAATTTTTTTTCTGCTAAACATAAGCAGTTTTAATTTAATGTAAAAAATAGATTTTAGGCAAAAGAATATTGTCTGTAGCAGTTAATGGAAGTGGATTTCCTGTTATTTCCCAGGTTGCTTTGCATCATGCTAACTGTGTTATTTGAAAATGTGTTTTATATTCAGTTATTTCATGCAACTATGGTTCTTTTTATTCACAACGAAATATCTTGTCTGAGACAGGACTTCAGGGGTAACACTGGTGTCATATGCAAGAGTCTCTCCTCCTGCAACTAAAGGGTTGTTAGTTCAAGTCCTGAGGCTGATTTTAGGTGCCATTGTGTCCAAAGGCAACCAACTTTACCTGAATTGCCTACTGATGGTGGTCAAAAGGCCTGGTGGAGCCGGTGTACAGCGGCTTCTGTCAGTGAGACCCAGGATAGCTGTGCTAAATAAGTACAGGCCATTTATCTTCTTATTAATATAGTTAAGAGTTTAGGTTTGATACTTTTTTTTTTAAACAGTGTCCTGTCTGGCAATGTGGCAAAAAGAATGATTGTCTTGATTCCAAAAAGATTCCAAAAGATTTTACTTTCACAAGTAGAGCAGTATGGCTATCGCCATAGTGTTCCGCTTGTTTCATGCATATAAATTGCTTTATTATAATTATGCAGGGAGTTTTACAGATTATATGGACACTGCAATGTAAAAGGTTTGATACTTTTATAAAGGAAATTTAAAATCATAGAAAATATAACCGTTAATTTGCAATATAAGAAACTCCATCAATGAAACTCAATAACATCAATGCAACTGGTAAATACTAACTATACAGTGCTTTTTTTAAGTTAGGAGACTTGACCAAAGTGCTTTAGGCCTTCAGTTCTTAACCCCCACACACACACTCACACACTCATGGTGGCAAGCTACATTGTAACCACAGTAGGTAATTTGGGTGAAGTGTCTTGGCCCTGAATTAGAATTCAAGAATACCTTTTAAACTGAACCAAACTAGTATGATTACATCGTATTAGTATCTGTTAAGTTTTACTAGCAGCAATAAGTTATACAAATCTAAGTCTATAATGCTGGATTTAGTAATCCTTAGTTGTCTGTAATAGTTATTATTAAAGTATCCACGTGATACTCTTTGCACTTAATTAAATAAGCTAATTTGAACCGGTTGACATAACTTGGTTAAGTCAGTTAAACATAGCATTTGTGTTATTTTTGGGGAAGTATGAGTATGAGTGCAACACTGTATGTAGCTTTTGCAAGCTTCCCCTTTTTTAACGGCATAACTGAAAGAAAGTACATTCTAACAGTATGCCATAAATGTTGGTGCTTAAACAGTAAACACTGCTTGGTCTCGTTTTTTTTAAAGTGAAACACAGGTGAGGTGTGCAGTACTTACCATGTAAAGCATGTTGCTCGAAGATGGGCTGACAGCTGAGCGGGCTTCGTTGTGCTCCCTCACACATTCTGCAGTGAAGTTCTTGTCACTGATCTGAGGTAGGGACATGGACAAAGTCCCCAAATCCAGGATAACCACGGCCCACAGCAACATCCTCTCAGTTCTCTGTGAAGCTCAGTCTGTAAACTGAAACGAGTTGAAGTGACACAGGAAATGATTCGATCTTGAGAAACAGGATGCAGAGTGCTTTTAAAAAAAATATTGACAAGAAAATCTCCTCACCAATGATGCGCATCACACTCTTAATGCAGCTTTCCAAAAGCAGCATTATGATTCATGCATTTTGGGGCAGGGCTCGTTTTTAATTTTTTTTATTTGGTATAAACCACATCTGATAGATTTTAATACCTACTATGAAAATGGAGGTGGAACTGTCATGGTTTGGTGATACTTTATGCTGCAGCAGGACCTGATAAGAGCGACTCTAAAGAATCCACATTGAATTTCTTGTTGTATTTGATGGCACATGAGCAAAATGTCAGACCATTTAGAAACAAAAAAAAAAAAATAAAAATAAAGCTCTGGCACAAATTAAACCTGTGAGATGACAATGACACAAAACCTGCCAGCTTTCTGCCGAGGACCGAGTAAGAAATAAAAAATGGCTGGACTTGTGTTACAGATGACTTCAGGAAGTCGGACCCAAAGTTAAAGACGCATGTTTTATAACTCCAGTATTACACCCTGCCACATCATCACATGTCATATTACATCATACATGTTTGCAAATATAGAGACATCTCTGGGTCCAGCCATATCAAAATAACACCCTGTTCTTAGATCAAGGCCACTCCGAATGCCCAGTGAGAGATGGCTCACTCTTAAGAATCACCCACTCCTTCTGCAGAAAGAGGAGATCGGTTCATTTCCAAATCTCTGTTATATACATAATGAACATTATAACTGCATATCCTGAAAGAGGAACTGCCGTATTAGATAAACTGCTTAGGAAAACATTAGTTTGATCAGATGTGTCAGGTAACAAAGTATAATTACTTTGTGACCTTACTGAAGTAGACATTTTATTAGACTTTTATATTTACTTTCAACTCTTTACATTTTATGAATAGATATGTTAGCTTTGTTTCATTTAAGCTCATTTTGGTTATTATTTTGGTATTTAAAAAACCCCAAAATCCATCAAAATTATTTGTTTCATCGTGACAATAATTTTTGTTTTTGGTTGGTGCTTCATGTTCGCCACATGCTAAAACAAACAGTTTTTTAATGATAAAGCAAAATTAGACACTGTCAGATTTTACATATATTTAATCACATTTATTATGCCAATGACCCCTTAGTGCTCTGTATAGATATACTATATTCTCTAGGTTTTTTTTTACTTTATCATTTCATTTTTTCCATAAAAATTTCTGAAACACGCAAACAATCTAGATTGTGCTGATGCTAAGCTAACATCTGCTGTACCTTAGGTCAAGCAAAAGCTTTTCATTCCTGGTGGTAACTAATGGCTGCTTTAGTTATAGACAGTAGGACCAGACCACCAGAAAGATGAGTTAACAGGCATTGACGTAATCACTCTCTTTGAGTATGTTTGTCGGCAGAGCAGAAGGGAGCTCATGCAAAGCTATGACAAGGAGAAGGAATACAGTTTTCCTGCCTTGTTCTGCCTCTCAACTACAGAGTTTGTCTGCTCCCATCAGAACGCTCTGCCTGAACAATTGGATGGACTCGTGGAACGCTGAACCTGCCTGAATGCTCCATGGATTCCTGGAATCTTGGATCTGCCTGTTCCTGTTCTGATCGGAACCCTTGACCAGGTTACGGACACTGGATCTCAGAACCTTCTTGTTTTGAACAGGTTCCCAGACCTGGCTCAGACTCCTGACAGACTGGGGCTGCAGCATCTGGTTTCACTCTGAGCGGCTCCTGATGCATTTATTGGCAACCCTCCAGCTAGATCCTCTTAGGAGTTGGACTGGACTGTTAAACAAGGTAAGTGACTCACATGGATAATCATCTTCTGTCAGATTATCATGGTCACTTACCTGTGTTTCTCGCTAAACCAGAGCAGCCAAAGCTGGGGGTTCCCCGCCTCTAAGTTCTGAGCACATGACATTTGGTTTAAAGCCAGCCATTACCTTTTACTGACACTGACTGAATAGATACTGCTCAAGAATTCTGGTATAAAACATGAAAAAGAAGAAAGTCAGAGGTGATGTTTGGGTATTTATTTGTTTTATTAAAGTGAACTTCATACATGTAAAGAACGTCTTTTGGTCGACTGTAGAAAAAGCGAAGGAGAAAGAGATATGAGTAGAGGATCAAGATTGAGACGGTGAGTGAGAGCAGTTCAACAACATTGGAAAAACCCACCAGAGTCTGAGGATTTTGAGCAAAAATTCCAGCTTGCGTGGTATGAAAATTAGGTGAAAGATTGGTACATTGTATAGTGTTTAGCACCTCTAAAAACTTGCCCCTGTTTATAAATTTTAAAATCCTACATACAACAATGTCTAAACTATCTCTTGCCTTACTTTATTTACAATTCTTGTAGGGTTTTTTAAATCTTCCCTTCAGAGCCACATATGTGGGACAAAACAACATTTACCATATTCATTATTATAGGTGGCTGTGGGTGGAGGTTGTGTGGCAGGTGGTGGGCCACAGTCATCTCCCAAGCATCAACAATTTTAACATTCACCCCTTTAAATATAATCCTGAGTAATTTGTATTGCTGAAGTGAAAACCAGTCACTGTTGGTTAGTGTCTCATAGAGTGTCAAAGCTTTGGGATTAGGAGTCCGGATGATGATCACCGTACCTGGCGCCCTGTTTAACAGTCGTAATACTGCCTTCCTTATGCTCAGAAGGCGACGGATGTAGACCTCAACAGGGAAAGTACTGAAGTGTGACCAGACTCCAATGACTATGGCAGTGTCTGTGCCTCCAACTACATTGTCCAGTTCATTGGCAACATAATGTTGGAGACTGACTGGCAAGTTACCAAAACGGATGGGAGGAGCATGGCAGTTGAATGTCACCATGGTGTTCTTTGTATAATCCAAGGCAATAAAAGGTCCTGTCTGCTTTGCCGTTTTGAGGTCAAACTTCTTGAGATCTGAAATTAATAAAAACATCAGATTAGACAGAACCATCATAATGTTATCAGAGATTTCTACTGGGATTTTACCTTCTGTTGATGTGAGTAAATATTCAAACCACTGCCTGATGGTGGAGTCTCCGTATAGGTGAAGCACCTTGCCTTTTAGACACTGGCTAATAGCAGAGCTGTTGGTAAACTGGTGAACTGTGGTGCTTTCTAGTGCTTGCCATGTTCCCTGATAGTAATAACCTGAAGGCTGAGTCATATCACTTCCCCCTTTAATGTCAGAAGACAGATGGAAAACATAACAATGTGAAAAACAAGCAAAAACATTTTAAAATACTTGAACTTGTTTTATTTTATTTCTGTACAATTGCATCAAGTTTTTACCTGATGTGTTTCTGAAAACTGTTTCCTTCAGATCTGAGAAAAAGGAAGGTACATTTAGTGATTTGTAATCGTTTCATGGGGCAATTTATGTCAGATTCAAAAAGCTGTACTCCTGGAATAGGAGGAGAATGATATAGGTATTTTCTGTAATAACAGCTCAAGTTTTATCCCTGGGTAATTAAGAAATACATGTTGCTGTCTTGCAGCCAGATGTCATATAGTTTAAAAGTACAATCACATTCATCATAAGTAACATCTAATAAAATTAAGTGAATTATAAAATACGGGTTCATATTACGTTGTCTGAGGTAGGTGGAAAATTACATCAGATTTAACACATTCTAGATCTCTGTGTTCATAAAAAAAAAACACTTATTTGAAAAGGAAACTTGACCTTTTAGCTTGGGAAAAATAGTGATGTTAGAAGGCCCTGATGCTTGAAGGAAGACTTTCATGTTGACTTCCCTATAGCACAACACATAAAGATATAAAGGACAACTTTTAATGCAATTATATTTAATTAATTTCGATTTGAGCTTATACAGTATATTTAATATTATTATCAACATTTCTGTAATAAATAATTCCATACTAACAGGTATGGTTTGTACTGGATTTCAGTCCAGTGAAAAACTCTCTGACTAGAGCCACTTGAGTCTTATTTATATAAACGTTTTTATTGCAGATTTTAAATGCAAAAATTGTAAGTACCGTAATGCACTTGAAAGGTTTGTTGGAAACAAACTTTGTAATAACTTCCTTAATCTTGCAGGACAAAAAATGGTTTTCACATTTCACAGAGGTTTTCTTTCCCAAAAAGGGTTAATGCACTAAAGTGAAGATGGAAACACATTTGCCTTGTATGTTGAGTAAGAGGCAAGTTATATATTGATTGACTCAACGACTATTGTTTAGGAGAAACTGATTATAAGAATCATATTATGCTTTCATAATATGTTCATTAAAAATATTTGTTTATACATTATTAAACTTAGAAATGTTTATAAAATATAATATAACTCAAACTTATTAGGATATTGAATATAAAAAAAGACATGTTAACATGTAAGCAGTAGCGGCTGGCTAATAGAGGATAATAGGGAGCCGACCCACATACCCAATAACCTTGATTATGACATAAAAAAAAACAAAAATTAAATCATAAAATTAGAATATTTAGAAATATATGAATATTTTTTTATGTCTAAGGTAAATATATAATTTTTAATGATGACTAAGGCGGTTTCATTTGCAAAAATCTAGACTCTTGTTAAATAATTTACATGCGCAGTAGCTCCTCTTCAATGCAAAAGATAGGACCATCCTGGGGCGCAGCACTCATGTGCCCAGATCTAAAAGTGCGCCTGATTGATAGGTTTATAGACTTATTTAGCAGCAAGGCTTGGCTAACTGCATGCAGCAGGTCTAACACTTTATTCTGGTTCCCCTGCCTCCTTTTTCAAACGTCACGATATGTCCTAGAATTGATTAAGACATATACTGTATGACTAATTTAAAGTACTTTTCAGAAATGTTTAGTGTTGTTTTTTGTTGTTGAACACATAACACTAACCTGAGCACTGCCTGGATTGAATACAAGAAAGCCTACTACTCAATGCCACACACTTGGATCAGACAACATCAATAGGACTCTAAGAGCCTTCATTGCAAACTCAATGAGGTTGTGAAAAACCACCCTTGAGTTGAGGCCAATGGCAATACACTTGCACAAGTCTCCACACATCTCTGATTTCACAAAGAAAAAATCTTCATAAATTCAATAACATTGTAGACAACACTGAGCATTGACTGTTGATCAACTAGAGAGTGATTCAGTCATATGCTTCTTCAAATCCCGTACAAGACAGACAGCTATGGAGGATCCTTCTTGCCCACAGCTGTTAACATCTGCAACAACTTCTTAAAAAACCTCTTCGAGTTACAACATCTTAAGCATATGAAAATCCAGAATGAGATGTTACAATCAACACATGTGTTAGAGGCTTTAATGTTATTTTATTTTTGATGAAGGGCGCAGTTATTTTTGTGCAAGTCAGATCTTAAATTCAAAATTTTTGCCAAAAACACAGATTATTTAATCTAAATAAAATAAACTGAATTGTACAACATTGTACCTTATTTTTTAACATAATTTGTGATTCAATTATTTCCTTTTGTATTTTCTTGAATAATAAATACTTTTGTGTTATTTGATCTGCTTAAGTAACTACACTTGGACAGCAATTAATTGGAAGGTCATATTAATATATATTTAACCTTATAAATTCAATATAGATCAAATTAAGTGAAAAGTAGCTTCTTTAGCAATAAGTTCAAATATTCTCAAGAAAAGTTCTGGAGAGATTTTATCATTAAGTGTTGGGATCTGGAGGCTTGTCCACTTTCTCCACCAGAGGGCGCCTGAGATCTTCCTCCTGAGGGCATGAGCTTCTCCTACACACCTGTTTCCTGTTTGCTCATTAGGTGACCTACTTAAGGAGGAGGAGGCTGAAACTTCCCTGCCAGAGTCTTTGCCAGTAATGATTAGCAAAACCTGAGCCAGCCTGCCTAAATCTGTAACCCTGATTTTTGAGAACCTGTCTGACCCTGTATCTCTCTGCCTCACAGATCCTGACTTTCCTGAAACCTGAAATCCTGGAGAAAGAAATCTGTCTGGAATCTGCCTGCCTGCACTCAGTCTCAGTCTCTGCCCTCAGCCCTCTGCCTGCTCACAAGGCCCCCCCCCCCTCTACCCCGTCATCTTTAAACTGCAAGTTTCCTGGATCAATCCTAACTGCTCTGTCCTCCTCAGTGGTGTTCCTCCTTTGACCAGTCCGAAGAACCCAGAACCCGAGCTTCACTTTCATTGTACACTTTGTAAATAAATTATTTAAACTTTTTCCCTGCCTAAAGAGTTGTTTCTGCATGTGGGTTAGACGCCTTGAACCCAACATGACATTAAGTGGTGTCTGGTTATTACAAAGAAACAGACCTACTGGAAATGATATGATTTTTGTTATAATGTACATCAATTGAAAGCTCCCTATAATGATGTAGCTTCTAAATGCTTTTGTCAGATCCTGTTTGGCAAATCATGTTATGCTGCATTGAAATAGTTAATTTTACAATTACCATTACACTCACCTTTGAAAAAGCTTGTCCTCCATTGGTTTTAGATTTTGACTGAATCCTTCAAATGAATGGTCGAGCCTGTCCTCACATTTAAGTTTCTTTGGCTTGTAGCAGAACCAAGGCTCGCCTGTGCGGATGTCAGTGAAGTTGCACAGCTGCTCCGGGGGAGACTTTAGGCACACATTACATGTGGCAGTTTCAGTGACAGAACCTGAGCCGAAGATGCTTTTAAAAGAAATTCTAGCAGGCTGCTCTTGTGTGATTTGCTGTAGCACTGTGACTGCCTCGCTGGGGTGGACCAGGGTTACCTTGTTAAAAAGAACAAGAATTTTTAAACAAATGTACAAACTAAGGTATGAAACAGGAAAAACACTGCAAAATTAAAAAGTAAATTAGGTGTCAAATACAATGACAAGTGTATTTCTCCAGCTGTCCAGGGTGTACCCGAGAGGCCGGGTACCCGAGAGGCCGGGTACACCCTGGACAGGTCGCCAGTCCATTGCAGGGCAACAAAGAGACAAACATGACACATAACCATTCACGCACACACTCACACCAAAGGAGAATTTAGTGAAGCCAATTAATCTAACAGTCATGTTTTTGGACTGTGGTAGGAAGCCGGAGTACCCGTAGAGAACCCATGCATGCTCAGGGAGAACATGCAAACTCCAGGCAGAAAGACCCCGGGCCGGGAACCGACCCCAGAACATTCTTGTTTCATGGCAGCAGTGCTACCCACTGCGCCACTGAGCAGCCCAATAATTAGATAACTGATAACAATTATTTTCCTGACAGAGATCTTATGTTAATTAAAGCAATTTTAAATAACTTGTAGGTTATTGAGTCTCTAGCTGGTTGAGCTGCACTTTGTATAGGTTTAATGTTGGATGGTTAGCTACTCTTTATTGTTTTAGCTCTGTTCTTTTTGCCACACATTAAAACTGAGATTTTCCATCCACCTTCCTTTTGGGGGCCAACTTTTCCTGGAGAGAATCAGTTCTGATAATGTTACCACTGGAACCCAAGGTATATATCACAAGAAAGTGATTTAAGCTCCTGATTGCCAAGACTGCCATCATCCTTTGCATGTGGAGGAGACAGAGCCGAAATAAAACTGGACAGCTTGGCTATGTGGCTTCCTGCTTTAGTTATTGATTTCAGAGAAAACAGAGCTTACTTAACTTTTGAATTCAAGTTTGAAGAAAGATGTCTGGCCTACGAGTAAGGTGGTAATTAATGCACTTTTCCTTATGTTCTATTGTTGTGGCTGTGTAATAAAAAAAATGATTTCAGGCTATGGAAAAAAACTTTAGTTTGGGGCCACATGAAATCACAGGCATTCCAACTTGGATGTTCTCTCTTTGGGGATGTCTTGAAAGTAATTAATCAGCTACAGACTCAATATAAAACGTTTACTGGTCTATAATTATATGTATCGTCCATATTTCATAGTACAGCACTTTTGTTCCTTCTGGACTAAACTTTACAACTGACACTTAAAGAAAAAAAAGTTTGGTTCATTATCATTACCAGCGTTTGGATTGCCGGATAGAGAGGTGTCACTCATCAGAGAGAGTATTCCCAATCTTCTACGGTCAAGAGGCAGGAAAATTTGGACAATAGAAAGTCTAAACATGAGCTTTACATACTAGTCTTGAATTGTAGTAATCTGGAGCTAGGAGGAGTGTCCCCTATGCAACAACCCCAATAAGCGGGAAGGAATCCGATCCAGTTTAGATATTCAGATCAGACAGGAACAGTTTTGGAATCCAGGAGTCCTCAGCCTGGTCAGGGGTTCCAATCCTCCCAGAAACAGACAGATCCAGGGTTCCAAGAACCCCCAGAGCATGAAAACAGGTTCTGTGAGTCGAGCATCCACCTCAGAAAGGAACGCACAGAGAAAGAAAGACAGAATCCAGCAGGAGTCCAAAGATGGTTCAGGCGAACAGCTCAGATGGGGGACAGACAAGACCAGTGGGTGAGATGGAACAGAATCAGGAAATCAAAATCAGTAGGAAACGCTGAAATGCTCTCGCCACTGGTTAGGGAATAAACTCCCCTGAAGACAAAGGCTTGAGAATAATCTCCTTGCTGGAGCAGGGACATGAACCTTTGAATAGCAAAAACTAAAGAAACAGAACCAAAAGACATCAAAAATAAAACAAACAAACAATGATCTGGCCCTGATAGCTTGACTGAGCTGAATATAAAGCAGCTGGATGAGATAAGTGATTATCAGGAGCCGGGCTGAGTTAAGCAGGTGAGAAGAATGAATAATTAAGGTGAGCTATCAGGGCAGATCATGACAGGCGGAAGTTTTTCTGATTAAAGTATCACTCTGGAATTCACTGGGGCCCTAAAAACAACCCTTTCCTTCAAAAATGTTTTAAGAATGAAAATAAATTGCATATAAATCAACTGCCACTTTAAATGCCAGCACCTAAACACATAAGGGATATCACTTCTCTGTAAATAATTAGACAGGGAGACACTCTCTATACTTTAAGAGAGAGGCTTATGACCATGATCTCTTCTATTTATGAAGGATATGTTTTTTTTCATCACACACACTTAGCAAGAAAGGTTTTACTGTTACCTCCACTTGTGCACTTCCTTCCCAGAGTAAAGAGAATACAGCAGTGTAGGAACCATTGAGATGATCCACCACTTGCCCTGCCACGCCTGCATGAAGAGTAGGGCTGTGTAGCCGAGCAAGAAGAACGTCTCCCCCTGACTTCTTTGGGCGACTATGGAAGTCAGCAATTTTTATCAAAACCTTCAGTTGATCTCCTACGTGCCAACTTCCACCACCATCTTTTGGAATAATGGTGAAGGTGCTGTGAGCAGGATCACTTGTGTCATTCAGAGAAAAGTTAGATGGTAGAGATGGTGTTTCAGGCCAGGCAATAGACTCCTTCAAAAATTCTAACTCAGAAACATCCTCTGGTAACACAGAATGAAACGAGCAGACACTGAGAGGCGTAGGGAGCTCAGTATGATCTTTCAAAGTTATGTTATGCAGTACCGGAGCCTTAGTTGTCTGGAATTTCTTCTTTAACTAGAGTAAAAAATAGGATAAAAAAAAAAGAAACAAGCATCACCAAAATGTAGTATCTGCACAAAAAATATTTTTAGAATTCTGGTTAGTCCTAGTTTTAAAGCATACCAAGAAACATTGACGTGAAATTCGCTAAATTTCAGCTATATGTAGCTTAATTCTGATATATTTTTTTAAATGCTGTGCACCATATCTCCTTATCCTTCCATTTTAAATTCATGTTTTTTTTGTTTTTTGTTTTTTACCTCTGATTTGCATTTTTTACTATAGTTGCTATTTAGGATATTTTCATGTCAAGGTTTTTGAATTGGAATTGGAAGCTGCTGACCCTGACAGAGGATTTTGTCGGACAGTTTAAAGAATCCTTTGAGGATTTCACGCCTATAGGCAGAAACTTGCCAAGTGGTGTTGTCAGAAAGTTTTTTTTTTATCTCTCTTCCATTATATATTAATTTATCCTATTTACTCACTATAAAAGTTTTCACCGTCTGTCAGTCTGTTTCTCTCTCAAGGCCACATAATTCTCTGCAGGCTGGTGTTTGTAGACCAGACATAGCTTCTTCCCATAACAAACTAGATTCTTTCTCAAGGTTTATTCATAACATGTTACTGTTTAACCAAAGTGTGTGTAATGGACTACTTTCCATTGTTGTAAGAAAGGGGGAACGAACGCTGCCCAGATCAGAACAGAGCAGAATGCTGTGCCATAAGGGCTGTATGATGAACTGTTCTCTCTTTGCTAAGATATGAATAAATGTGCCGACTGAGTGAAATCCATCAATCTCCGTTTATTTAACTAGGATGAATAGTTGAATACTTTTTTCCCACGACAGTGGTCAAAAAAACTTTGTGTGGGGGAATTATATCTGCCCTGAGTATCTCAGCTTCTGGATGTTGTGGAGTGTTTATAGCTGAGATGCCTACTTGGCATTGCATGGCATTGGGAACAGTGCCCCTTGATTAACAATCTAGCATTATGGTCCCTCTTCACAAGAAAGTTAACTGGAGGGTGTGTTCCAACCACAGAGGCATCATCCAGTCTCTTAACAAGCAGTGCATGAGTCTGGTTTGCATTGCCAATATGAAGTTGGACCTGTTCCCTGGTGAATGTTGCACTCCAACAGGAATGCTGCTGTGGTGGTTTTCAGCTGGAATGAAGACCAGCTCCACCAAGTTTGAGTCCATAGTGGTGAACTGGAAGGGGTGGATTTCCCTCTCAAAGTCATAGAGGAGTTCATGTCTGATGTAAGGAGTTTAAGTTTCTCAAGCTGTTGTTCACAAGTATGGGGAGAATGGAGGCAAGACATGTCGGTGCTGCTCCCACAGTAATACTGATTTTGCATAAGTCAGTTGAGGTAAAGCAGGACCAGTTCTCAGAGCTAGGTGCTAAAACAAGCTCCCTCTACAGAGTGGTCAGGCACTCTTACAGAAATAGCGATCCTCCACATTGAATAGAGACATCTGAAGTGGCTCAGGCATTTGGCTGCCATCTGTCCCTGCCCCTGTCTGTGATAAAAGAGACGACTTGAGGATGGGTATATAAATATTAGCTTTGTCTGAGAAATTTAAATTATAGATGGGTGTAATTTAGATGTATATTTCTCATGCCCTCAAACGCTGGCATTGATATCATACCCTGAGATAATAAATCATTACTTAATAATAACCTATAACTAATGTAACGCGTAATATCATGCTTGATTGGATGATATTATAAATTTTGCTTAAGGCAATCATCTGTATTCTATTAAGGAATTATGGTTATATGGACGGAGCTTTACCTTCTAAAGATGGTGGGAAAAGCTTTACTTTTAACATTTTATGATGCTTTTATATTTCAAGTTAATGTTTTAAAGATCATTAATACTCACCTCTGTTGGTTTACAAGTTATGTGATCAGGGAAGTTGCTACTGTAGTACATGAACCATACAGCAAACATCAAGAACAGAAAGAAACTGAACTTCTGAAGAAAATGTTTAAACCTTAAAACTTGGCCTCCCATTATCAGTGCTGACTGGATCTGGCCCTGTGTAAAAATAAAAAGACAAAAATGCGCTTATGTTATGGATTGTTACTTCTTTAATACATTTTGAAAAATTTAATATATAATTCTATTTTAATTCTTGTTTCCATGAGAGGACAAAGAAACAAAACAAGTACAAGGCAATAGAAATTCATAAGGTAACCAGTATCATTTATCATTTCAATTATTTTCCAATGTATGCACTTTCTCCATGAACAGACATCCTTTAGAAGGAAAGGTTTTTATTTGACTTTTAAAAGTTTTTAAAATGTAACAAAAAGAAAAAAAACAACAAATTTAAAATTTGTCTATCCTATAAAAAGTCTTTATTGTTATATTTTTGAGTAACATATACTTGATTATTGCACAGAATGCATTTTATATACTAAATGTTTGCAGAAAATCCATCCATCCATCCATCCATCCATCCATCCATCCATCCATCCATCCATCCATCCATCCATCCATCCATCCATCCATCCATCCATCCATCCAT